TACATAATGTTCACTTGTTCCATAAGAGATTACAGCAGTGATGGCAGCCTTACCTAGTGTCGTCAGGTTCTTGTAGTTCTCCAGCATCACATCTCTGTATAGGTTTCTCTGAGTTAGGTCCAGTAAAGCCCACTCCTCCTGGGTGAAGTCCACAGCCACATCGTCAAAGGTCATGGAATCCTAAACCATCACACACAAGCTAGATTCAGTTAAGTGACGTCTCCACCAATATTCCCTGGGGAATGAAGAAGGCAGACCCAATGGCAACAGAGGGTTTCAAGGTCTCTCATCATCTCCCCCAGGGTGCAATGATCCTAAGGACCCTTCTCTCTATCTACACTCACTCACGGTTGATATCCTCCAGTTACAGCTTTAATGGAACCTCTAACACATGAACTTATCTCACCACAACTAGACTAAAAGCTCTTATCTTATTTCCTTCTTGCAGGACACTCCTGAAAAAATTGTAGACATTTGTAAATGCTGATGAATAAATAAATTCCTTGGAGAAACGCACACTCTGATCTTCCTTACCATCTGTCAGTGCACCAAATAATATAACAATTATGCAGCCACCCTCATCAGAGTCAATGTTCGGCAGTAATAATCCAAATACTCGGATTATTCAGAGTAAGCCATCACCGTTATAAGGTACCACTTTGTGAGGAAATTCAACAGGAACTCCATCCTTGAGGGCCTGTATTTCTTTTTTTTTTCCTTTCTGCTTTTTCTCCCTAAATGCCCCCAGTACATAGTTATATATTCTAGTTGTGAGTCCTTCTAGTTGTGGCAGGTGGGACGCTGCCTCAGCATGGCCTGAGGAGCGGTGCCATGTCTGCCCCCAGGATCAGAACCAGGGAAGCCCTAGGCCTCTGCAGCAGAGCGCACGAACTTAACCACTCGGCCATGGGGCCAGCCCTGGGCCACTTCTACTTTTAATCCTGATCTCTGGATCCATGAATTCCACAAACTGGAGGTGCAACAGATTATGATTGTCATTGATTTAGTGTGTATGCTGCATCCTGTGTATTATGTAGCCAGAATGTCCTCTGTATTCAAAAGCCTAAAATAGGGGCTGGCCTCGTGACTGAGTGGCTTAAGTTCCACACGCTCTGCTTTGATGGCTCAGGTTTGCAGGTTTGGATCCCGGGTGCAGACCTACTCCACTCATCGGCCATGCTGTGGAGGCATCCCATAATACAAAAAATAGAGGAAGATTGGCACAGATGTTAGCTCAGGGGTAATCTTCCTCAAGTGAAGAAAGAGGAGGATTGGCAACAGATGTTAGCACAGGGCAAATCTTCCTCACCAAAAAAAAGAAGAAGCCTAAAATAAATATGATCATTCTCTTTGAAATTAGATCATGTTCCCATATCTCATATATTTTAAAAAAACTAACCATACTTCATTCTCTTTTTAGAATATGTTTTACTTATGTCCTCCCTTTCCCTTACAAATTTTATAGATGAATTGTATTTTCCACCTATGTTACCTCAATACTCATTCTTCAACTTAGTCTGCCTGGATTATTTCTGCCCCTGTTCCTCTACTTAGAGGTGGTAAACGGAGCCCTTCCTAATATCAACAAAAGCCTCCATGTCACCAGAAATTGTCAAGGGACATTTTTCAGTCCTCTTTTGTTTAGTCCTTTCAACAAAACAAAAACCATTAACCACTCAGCTCTTCTTCAGAAATGACATCCTTGCCTCCATGACACTGTGGATACCAAGTGATCCTTGACTCTCCAAAGATTCTTCAAGAGGAGGATATCACAGAGAGTTGGTTCCTGGGTTTGGTTCTTGTAGAAATTAGACTTTCCTTAGGAGATACCTTGTCACATTTAAGTCAAACAATACAAAGAAGAAATTTTCCTTGGAGAAATACTTTCTTCTTTCCCCACTGTTGCCTACACAGACACAGTATTGCCTGAAAATTTTCCATTCTTTTATCTTTGTACTCCAAGGGACCTGAATTGCTTGGAAAGAGAAAAGTCAATAGAACAGTTTATTTAAGGAGGAGCTCTGAGAATTCAGCCCTTGAGATGATAATAACATGTCCCTGTTGTCATTTTTCATATAATTCTCTGATCCCTGCCTGGGTGAAAATGCAATTGGGCTTTGCAGAGACAGACCTCAGAGAACACAAAGTTTCAGTTATTACCATTGGAGAGGGCCAGTGTGTACCAGTGAGGGCTGGTGGGGTAAGAAGGAAAAGAGGAGAGGAAGTGAGCACTGGACCTTACCTCCAGAATAATGAGACTGAAATAGTTCCATATTTGTTTAGTCTACAAAGGTTAAGGCCTGGTGGTTTAAAGTACTTTAGTGTCTACTGAACCCAGTCTTTCCCAGCAATTATTCTTTTCCCCTCTCTCTCTTTGGAATCTAGACTCTGTCTCCAATAAGTTTTATTTTCCAGAAAGTCTCCCCCTCTTCTCTGCTTTAGTCTATAATTGTTGGCTTCTGCTGGATTTCCTGTGGTCCATCATTGATGCGCTATTCACTGAAGGTCTTGTGCCTGAGGTATTGTCTCTTTTATTTCTCATGTAATTGGATTTTTCTATTATATTCCCTAACTATTTTGCAGCAGATTTGACTCACTGATAGTACTTAATAGTTCTCTGTTGATTGTTGTTGTTGTTTCACTTTAGTGTCCGCAATATTGTCTACAAACAATATAATTATTTCTGACATTTGGTACTCAGGCCAATTTCATTTTCTTATCTTAACAGTCTCTTTAAATGTTCGCGAGAATATCAAGTGATTGAAGTTAGAGTAGACAGCCTTGATCTGTTTATGAATTCAACACAAATATTTTAGTGTCTTAATGCATAGCATCCTGTTAACTGTAGTTGTAAAACAGCTGTTCTTTATTGGGTTAAGAAATTGTCCTTAGTGTCCTCATTTAGTGAGAGGCTCTGTCCTGGCTGCTAACCACAGTAATGGCTGTTATATTTTCTCAAATGCATTTTCTATTGTGATTATGGTTATGATATCTCTTCCTTGACCTATTTTTGTGATGAATTATGTTAGGAAACATCCTAGTATTAAACCTGTTTTCCATTCCTAGAAAGTATTACTTATTCATGATGTATTATTCTTTTAAAATACATATGAACGCATTTGATTTAACTTCATTATTCAATTTTCTGTTCACAGTCGGGCATATGGTGAGCTTGAAGATTTCTTTTTTTGTGTTATAGTTGATGCATTGCATCCCAGTCTTTATTATACATGTAACATTTGCATGTATTCAGCTCCTACTGTGTGCCAGACAGCATGTAAACCCCTTGAAAGTCATTGGAAAGTAAAAACAGTCACATCCTCTCACCCATAAATAAACAAAAATTACTAATGTGAGAGGCACATCAAGGCATAGTACAGGATGCTGGACTTGTTGGCCTCCCTGAATATGTCCTCCTGACCCTCACTCTGTTCTCCATCTCACTGGCCTCTCAAATCCCTTCCATTCCCAAGCTCGCCAACCCACAGGGCAGACGTGAATTCCGTTCTCGCAGACCACCAATGCTTGCCCTTTCCTTATTTCCCCTGGTTAACAATTACCCATTCTTCCTCTCACAGCTCAAATGTTCATATTTCAGAGAAGCCTTTTCTACCCACCTCCCCAGACTAAATCGATCCTCAGTGATTTACTTTCTCTCTTTATTTAATCACATTAAAAACTCTGACCTTTTTTCTATAATGGAGATGTAATCATTTTCATTGAATTTGTCTTTTATTTTTTTAGGGGTGGTATGTTATATGGAAACTTTGTATATTTTTAACCAAATCTATTATTTTTTTTACAATTAACTGCACTGATTGTTAATACGACACATACCCACTTTGAGGATGTACACATGAGCACACCCTCACACACATGCTTTCTATTTTATTTTAATGGTTGTGTGATTTTGCTTCCTCCTCTTGCCTGTGTAGTCCACATTTTTCCCTCTTCTTGGAAGAATCCACCTGGCAGGCAGTCTGTGGAAGAGGGAGCCTTAGGACTCTTCATCAAATGAAGTGCTGCATGGCAGTCAAATGGGGTAACAGACCTGTTGTGTTTATAATGATCAGAATTCCATCCTTGATGACTGCCTTAGTTTAAAGGAAATTTGATAAGCAATAGCCATGCAAGACAGATTTATTGTGATGTTAACAACAAGTGCTAAGAACATTTATCAAGTGTCCAGTGTATGCCACAGGAATCACAAGAAAAATTACATGCATCATCTCATTTAATTTACTCACCAGTCTTACAACGAAGGGAATATTTATACTCTCATTGTAGAGGTGAGATACCTACAGCTAAGAGAGATAAACTAACATACTAAGATTCTATTCTAGGAAGTATGATTCAAGATCTCGTTTTCTAAATCACAGCTCTATACTGTACTTTCAGGGAGTTATATATCAAATCCAATTGTCATAAAATGAATAGAAATAATAATGCCTATCATTTATTGAGATCCTCCTGTACACCAAGGGATGTCTAAATGTCACAAAGAAGATAATATCAGTAACTGCATTTTTAGAAAGAAAAAAAGTAAGGCATATGAGTTAGCCCTGACATCAGGAATCATTAGGTTATAGAATTAAGGTTATTTGAGTTGGAAATCCATGTTTATCATGGCTGTTATAGAGCTATTTGAATGAAGGAAGTATGGACATTATCAAGAAAAAGACATTAAATGTCTTCAAGTGTTTTGGAAGGGTCATATCATAGAGGAAATGGATTTATGTCCATAGCTTCAAATAGAATTCAAACCAGTGAGTAGGAGATAAAGAGAGATTTCTGCTGAATTTTAAAAGGGCTAAATAGTCACATCTAAAATGAAAATGGGCTACCATTTTGCTGAGTGAATTCATTGTCACTGGAAGGACTATTAGTGAGTGAAGGGTGTTCAGGCGAGGTGGAATCAAAGGTAATGACCAGCTGAAGTGCCAGTTGGCTGTTCACTGAACATTGCTTTCTCCTCCTCCTTCAGCAGACACAGCTGCTACATGGAAGCAGGAAACCACACAGGAGTATCAGAATTCCTCCTCCTGGGTCTCTCAGAGGATCCTGCACTGCAGCCCCTGCTCTTTGGAGTGTTGTTGTCCATTTACATGGTCGCCGTGCTTGGGAACTTGCTCATTATCCTGGCTGTTGGCTCTGACTCCCACCTCCATACCCCCATGTACTTCTTCCTCTCTAACCTGTCCGTTGTTGACATCTGTTTTACCTCCACCACTGTCCCGAAGATGCTGGTGAACATGCAGGCAGAGAGCAAAGACATCTCCTACACAGGATGCTTAACTCAGGTGTATTTCTTTTTGATTTTTGCTTTACTGGATGATTTCCTCCTGACTGTGATGGCCTATGACCGGTTTGTGGCCATCTGCCACCCCCTGCACTACATGGTCATCATGAACCCACGCCTCTGTAGCCTCCTGGTTCTGATGTGCTGGTTCATCAGTTTCTGGGTCTCTCTGCTTCATATTCTACTATTGAGGCAGCTGACCTTCTGCATAGGCACTGAAATTCCACATTTCTTCTGTGAACTGGCTCAGGTTCTCAAGGTGGCCTGCTCTGACACCCTCATCAATAACATTGTCTTGTCTGTAGCAACTGCCCTGCTGGGTGTGTTTCCTCTTGTTGGAATCCTCTTCTCTTACTCTCAAATTGTCTTCTCTCTACTGAGGATGTCTTCTTCAGGAGGAAAATGTAAAGCATTTTCCGCCTGTGGCTCTCACCTCTCTGCGGTCTCCTTGTTCTATGGGACAAGCCTGGGGGTCTACTTCAGTTCTTCTGTGACCCATTCTTCCCAGAGAAGCTTGATCACCTCAGTGATGTACACCGTGGTCACCCCCATGCTGAACCCCTTCATCTACAGCCTGAGGAACAAGGATGTGAAGGGGGCCCTGGGAAGGCTCCTTAGCCAAGCAGCCCCTTGTCTGTGATGGGCCATTGGCCATAACTAAGTGGACATGGTGGGCCCCAAAGACAAATGTTGTAAGTTTAATCTCCTGGTCGTTTTTCTCCCCTGAAAGACGTGTTTCATTTCTTCTATTCCCAAACCACCAATCACTTTTTTTTCCTACTGAGGAAAATTAGCCCTAAGCTAACATCTGTTGCCAATCTTCCTCCACTTTATATGTGGGCTGCCTCCACAGCATGGCTGACAGGTGGTGTAGTTCTGAAGCTGGGATCTGAAACCACAAACCCTGGCCGCTCAAGCAGAGTGTGCTGAACTTAACCACTAGCCACGGGCCTGGTCCCCTTTTATTAGTTTTTGTGTTAGTTCCTCCTCAGCAACCTCTTCAGTCATTCCTTTTGACTTTTCTTCCCTATTTATAACCCGTAAAGTTCTATCTTTGATCAGCTTTCTTACAGCCATTTGATATTTCTAACATTAGACTTGAAGCACTTAAATCAAGTGCTGGCATCATTTCCCCCAATAATTATCCTCTCAAATGTTGATATCTTCACCATAATTTGGTTGTGTGTTTATTTTCCCCTAGAAGAAATGGAATGAAAATCATACAATAGTCATAACCAAAGTGACTGCCAAATCAAGACTGTTCTTCTTGCTTTGCATGTATAATTTTACGTAAACCTGACAACATTTCTTTGAGATTTTTTTCTCATTTACCTTGTTTTTCAGAGAAAGAAATTTCAGTTGGGATGGACTGTAATCTGGAAACCTGACTCTGAGCCCACACTCATAATTTTGCTATCATACTTTTCATGAAAACAGTGATGTGATTTTCAACTTCAAAAGTAGGAATCTAGATTTGAAAGCTAGGCTGTCCAGGTGATTTATAGTAATATATTGCATAGGATAATTCTGATACACGGCTACTCTCTTTGCCTTCATTCCTCCTTCCTTCCTTTCTTCCTATCATTTCCTATGTTATTGGACCTTTATTTCCCATCATTGAAGTTTTATGATACACCCAAGGATCCAAAAACACATAATACTGAATATAATAAAGTAAGACTTATTCTCTCACATGATTTATTTTGAGGAGAGAATACTCCCTGGAAGTGCCATTAGGTAGTTATACACTTGTAGGATGCATTCAGAACTAGTTCACTTTTTGAGACTGTTAATAGAGTTGTATCCATTGAGGCAGGAAGTGCTGTGGGTGGAGCAAATTTGGAAAGAAAGGTGAAATTAGAAGTTCAGGTTTGAAATATATGTAAAGGAGGGGAATTTGCCTCCCCAAAATTTGTCTCTTTGGCTTGGTTATTTTATTTTTTTTGAGGACGTTTAGCCCTGACCTAACATCTGCCATCAATCCTCCTCTTTTTGCTGAGGAAGACCAGCCCTGAGCTAACATCCATGCCCATCTTCCTCTATTTTATATGTGGGGTGCCTACCACAGCATGGCTTGACAAGTGGTGCCATGTCCACACCCAGGATCTAAACCAGCAACCCCTGGGCTGCTGAAGCAGAATGTGCGAACTTAACCATTGCACCACCAGACCAGTCCCAGGCTTGGTTATTTTTAAGAACAAAAGACTCAGGAGGAAACTTTGACCTTACTCCTAATAGCTTAAATGAATTTAAGATAGAAGGCCTATTTCAGAAAGGAGTTATCACCGTAGATTTATATAGTATAATATGAACTAGGTGTGGTAGACAGCAAGGCCTGTGTGCTCAAAGTCCTCTCCATGTGGCATTGTCTCTGCAAGGCATTGCAAATATTTGTTTAGCAAACATTTGCTTTTCCATCTCCATGTGAATGGCCTTCCTCACCTCTTATGTTCCAAACCACTTCCTCCAACATCCTTTTTTGTCTTAAGTGAACATGATATTTAAGATGGTGGCTTCAGCCATTTTGGTGAGTTACTTGGTTTTCCTGCATTTCTCCCATGTGTACATGTTATTAAACGTGTTTGATTTTCTCCCATTATTGTGTCTCATGTCAATTTAATTCTTAGGCCAGCCAGAATTACCCAACAGGGTAGAGGAAATTTCTTCCTCTCCTACATGCCAAAAATGAGATATTCCAAATTGATAAATATTATATAGTTGCACTTATATGAGATGACTAGAGTAGTCAAATTCAAAGAGACAGAAAAGAGAATAAAGGTTACCAGACGCTGGGGGAGGGGGAATGGGGAGTTTGTGTTTAATGGGACAGAATTCATTTCATTTGGGGCTGATGAAAAAGATCTGGAGATGGTTGATGGTAATGGTTGCACAACAATATGAATGTAGTTAATGCCACAGAACCGTACACTTAAAAATGGTCAAAATGGTAAATTTTACATTATGTATATTTTGCCACAATAAAGAAAAATGGAGATGTTTGTTTGATGTCCCAGTGGAAATTGGAATTTGGGAGAGAGGTCTGTACCAGAGGTAAACATTGCGGGGTCATCGACATAGAGGCAGTATTTGAGCCAGCAAGCTAGTTGAGACTACCAAAGGAGCAGGTATGAATATGGAGAAGGACCAAGGACAGAGCCTGGGGACACTCTGGGAGGAGTAATGGCAAAGGAGACTGAGAAGGGAGACCAGTGAGGTAGCAGGAAACTAGGAGAGGTGGTGTACTGAATGCCTAGTAGAGAAAGTTTATCAGTGAAAGGCTGTGGTGAAGAGAGAAGCAATTCTCAAGAGGAAAAGTTGTGACCCTTTGCAAGCAGTATGTGTTTCCCAGACAGCCAGAGTTGTGCCCTCCAAAGACAGAGACCGTCATCTTTTTTCCATAGCCATTAGGAAACACTCATAGGAGGAAGTCCTGGAGATCTCTGTCTTTGTTTCTTATACTAAATGATTTATTTAAACAACCCTAGGAAATCTGAATTTATTCCTTAAGAAGACTAGTTATCTCAAATTTACATATCAGTGGGGCTGCTTCCTAGTGGTATTTGGGGAAAAATATAGTGTAACTGTAAACATTTAATTGAAGTAGGGAGAGTATCTGTCCTATTTATTTTGTATCTCTTTAAAAAATTATAGACTGAGCCATTCATTTTGTAAAGAAATATATATTGAGAACCCAAAATGTTTTAGGTACTAGGAACATGGTCATGAAGAAGCAGATTCTGACATCATATAGCTTATATTCCAGTGGGGGAGAAAGAAAGAAAGAGGTGAGTCAATAAAAACAGTTCAAACGTGGAAGGTGCTATAAAAAATGAAATAGTATAAAGCAGAAATTCAAACAGATATTTCTATGCACACCTATGTTCAAAGCAACAATATTCACAATAAATAAAAGGTGGAAGGAAACCAAGTGTTCGTCAGAGATGAATGAATATACAAAATGTCGTAAATACATAAATAGAATATTATTCAACCTTAAACAGGAAGGAAATTCTGACACATGCTGCAACATGGATGAAACTTGATAATATTACGCTAAGTGACATAGGACAGTCCGAAAAGGACAAATAATGTACAATTCCAGTTATATGAAGTAGCAAGAGTAGTCAAATTCATAGAGATAGGAAATAGACTGGTGATTGGCAGGGGCTAGAGGAACAGAAGAATGGGGAGGTAGTGTTCAATGGGGACAGAGTTTCAATTTGAGAAGATGAAAAAGTTCTAGAGATGGATGGTGGTGATGATTGCACAACAATGTGAATGTACTTCGTGCCAAATGAATACTTTAATGCCAGTGTACACCTTAATGCCAAATGAACACTTAAAAATGGTTAAAATGGTAAGTTTTATATTGTTAAAATAACCACAGGCCCAAAATGGTATCACTTGTGCTAAAGCCCATGATACCAAACCTGGATTTAATACCTGCCCTAATTGCTGTTTTCACCTTCCCCAGCAATGTAATTTTAGTCAAGCAGTCTGGAATTTTCTGGCCAGTACCAATGGGGTAATCTGTTACATGGGCCCTCTCCATGCCCCAGAGGAGGAAGAGGTAATCTACAAAATAAAACCCTTGCCTTTCCCTTCCTCCCCAAAAGTAAGGTGTCCTGACCCAAAATAACCCTCTCATTTCTTTTGCTAATGACTTCCTCGCCCCACCCTCCTTCCTCTAAAATCCCCCATTTTGTATCACTCCTCAGAGTATCTCTTTGCTTGCCAGATAAGATGATGACCAATTCAAGAATCATTTAATAAAGCCAATTTGATCTTCAAATTTACGTGGTTGAATTTTGAGTTTTCAACAGTGTTGTGTATATTTAACCACAATAAAAAAGATGAAGCAGCACAAAATAATGGAGAAAGATTGTGAGATTTCTTCCAGAAAATATTTTCAATATCATTGTAAAATAATAGACAATGGCTATGATGGTTTTAGATAAAAATTTTACCACTAGTCCTCAATAGGATAACATTAGTCTATACCAGGATTTCTAAAGTGCAATACTGACATTTTGGTCAATATAATTATTTGCTGTGAGGGCCTGTCCTGTGTATTGTAAGATCTTTAACAGTGATGGGGCTGAGAGCAGGCCGCTCCAAGGTGTGCCACTCTGGTATGCGGACTATTTCGAGCTGAAGACAATGAAGCCTCAAAAGACCCAGAAAGAGCATCTGACCTTCCCCCAAGCTGCCTAAAGAAATTTAAAATAAAGGTTGTCTCCAGGACAGGCCATCACCGTAGATAACTATCTAGGACACTTGGGGGGATCCTTGCTAAGTCCACTCTTATCAAAGTCCTGCTTATCAAACTTCTGCATTCCATCTCTATGACGATTGTCTTTCTCCCCCTTGAAGCCCCAGATCATTATGTGCTCCTTGCCTGTAGCTGAGGGTACTTAAACGGGTGGACTCAGCCAGATGGCCGAGTTACTCAGTTTACCCTGAGTTTCTCCCATGTATACATGCTATTAAATTTTGTTTGATTTTCTCTTGCTAACCTGCCTCTTTGGTTATTTGACCAGCCATAAGAACCTTGAGGAAAGGCGGTGGGGGGGAATTCTCCCACTTCCCCGACAACAGATTTCTGTTTTCTACCCTCTACATGGCAGGACTGAGTTGTGA